CAGGCCCACTGAATTCTGTCTCTGTCCAAGGTCTCAGATCTGCCCTAGTTACTCATGTCTGGGGTCAGCCTTGGTCTTGAAGAACATCACTGGCACCAAAATCAGACCAAGAATTCATAAGAGGTTTGTCAAAAGCAACCAGCAGCTGGCTTGTCCCCTCCTCCTGGGGTCAGACTGGTCTTTTTTCAGTTAAGCAAATATGGGCTATTGGGCTGGGAGACCCTGTGACCTCCATCTAGGATGAGTTTACAGCCGTGGCCCTGGCCCTTTTGTGTCCACGTGATTAGAAAGACCCCTGTGGCTCCAGTTTCCCCCGAGTCCCAGATCTGGGGATCAATCAAGGCCTGACTCAGTTGTCTTCATGATTCGACTTGGGGGTGTCGGCATCTCAGTGGCCCATTCATAGACCCTTCTTGATCATCGGCGCCCCTCCAGCCACCACCCACTCATCGTGACATGACGCATGCACACCTGTGACAGTGACCTCCCCCCTCCCTCCCATTCACACATTCACACCCCTTGTGCTGAAGCCTTTTCCCATGCCCGTCTACTGGACACTTCAGCATTGGCTTTCTTTCTTTCTCATTTCAAGATTAAAACTTCAGAAACAGCCAAGAAAATATTTGACTTCCATAAACATTGCTTCTGAGTATTGAATATTATAGTGCTTTGCAAATGGAAAATGTATATATATATATTTTTAATGGGAAAACATTTAGAATGTTTCAAAGTAGACAAAGTGTGCACGACCAGTGCTGAGCTGGTGGTTAAGGGATGTTTTGGAAAGGGATACAGTACCATCATGGTTTTAAATTAAATACCGTCTCCAGAAATTTAAGGAAATTACAACGTACAGTTGTCTCTGCAGATAAAAAAAAATGTTAACCTACAGAATGATGTGAGGAAATGTTTGCCTCTTTTGTAGCTCCCTGTGTGAATGAGCCAGCCTAAAATAATATAATTATCAAATTATAATAAGTTATATAATAATTATTATAAATTATGTTATAACATACTAATTATCTTATTATTATGATTTTTTTTAATTTTTGGAGAGGAAATGAAAATTTTTCATGTTTCCTTTTTACTGATGTAGAATAAAGATTTCTTCATAGTCTTTTTTTGGTTTCATGTGGATGGGATACTTAAATAGGAGATGAAATTGCATACCCATAGTTTAATAAAGAATTTTGTGCTTTTTCTTTTCAACAGTTAAGCCATATGTAAATCTGTTTGCTTTGGATCCTAGCTGATTCAATTAGGTGAGGGAAGTAATTCTAGGAAAATCCCAGTACCAACTTAAAGAGAATTTCCGAGTTCTTTTTATTTTGTGCTGGAATCTCATTTGAAAAATTTAAACTAAAGTTATTCCATAATTATAATTCAAAAGAAACCTTTAGATTCACTTAGGATAGTTTGAATTGAGAATTCTAGAAGAAGAGTAGTTTTTCAGAATGTCAATACTATGTCTTATAAACTAAATTCTTTACAAAGGATTCTTTATAAACATCAACCTTATTCCATCCCATCTAATTATCCATTTTCAGAATTGGTTGCTTCCAAAGTTTCCTCCTCTTCCTCTTCTTCCAACAGCTCCTTTTGCCTTCTTGTTCCTCATTAGCCATGAACTGACAATAAAGTTTCCACTCCAGTTATCCACAGCGCTTCTGTGGTCCCTTGCTGGGTTTTTTTCAAGCTGCCCTATTTGCCATCTTTCACCCCAACTTTATAAGAATCGAAGTCATCACAGTACAGAGAAAATGCCCACGGTCACGGCCGACCCAGGCGGCAGCCATTGCTGATACACCGTGCTGCTGGGCTGGAGTTAATTTGGCCCGTAAGTCTTCCTTTCCAAGTTAAGTTCATTTATACTGTAGGAATCAGTGTAAATCAGTCTGGTTGGAAAGCAGGATATAAAATCAATGCAGATCATTTTAGAATGCAATCTCCAGCCTTTAGAAAAGAGGACTGCATTACTTCCTCTGGTTGTTCAGCAAACCTTCACTGCCGGCCTGCTGAGCACCAGGTCCAGTGTTCAGCACTAAACATACACATGGACAGATGCAGGGTCTCTGCCTCCTGGTGGAGTGGGTGGAGACAAATCATGACCTTGATTCCACCTCCCTGAGATCCTACGGCTCCATCACTAACCAGGTGTCCACCCAGAGCAAGTTACTTCTCCAGCCAGAACTTTTGCTGAACGATTATAGGAAATAATGCAACAGCGTATGATTCCAACTCTATGACATTCTGGAAAAGGCAAAACCATGGAGACGTGAAAAGATCAGAGCACAGAGGATTTTTAGGGCAGTGAAAATACTCCCTGTGTGATACCAGAATGATGGATACATGTCATTATATACTTGTCCAAACCCTTGGAATGGATACCAAGAGTGAACCCTGAGGTCAACCATGATGATTATGACGTGTCAGTGTCAAATCATCTTTGGTCACAAATGGACCATCTGGTGGGAGACGTTGAGAACGAGGGAGACTGTGCATGTGTGGGGGCAGGAAGTATATGAGGAATCCTTGTACCTTCCTCTTGATTTTTGTAGTAAACCTAACCTTGTTCTAAAAAAATAAAATAAACAGGGTCAGTCGAATAAGGAATAGTTAAGAGCTCCTGTCTCAAATTAAAATTTTTGAACCTCTAGTAATATCTGCCTTTTCTTTTCCCACAGTTTCACTCATATGTTGCTCATAATCTTAACTCTGAACCATGGGGTTCTGGCTGCATGTTAGATCAAATATTTCATTTAACTTCGCCAAAGCCAGACTCAGAGGGGCCTGGGAAGAGTTAGGCAGCTTCCCTACTTCTTGGTACATCCAGAGTCTCTGGACGGCTTTCTTTTCGTTTGTTTGTTTATTTTTAGGGCAGGGAGGAGTTGTTCGGACCCTTCTGGTGATGGTTAGCTTACAGCATTGTCTCCTTAGCGGGAGCTGTGACTCGGCCATCGCTTTGAAGTGGTCACATCAGAAATGTCCCTTCCCTGGAATCCAGTCTATTTCAGCATCCACAGCCCTAATTTCTGTTTGTAATCTGATTACGGGGTTTGAGCTGTTCCAGGCTGCGGTGTCTTGCTTTGCATTCACTATACCCTCAAGGACAGCGCTGCCTGCCTCTCCAGCCCTGCGCTGCGAGACTCTCAACCCAGTTTTGCTCAGACGGGCCGAGGGCCGGGGCTGGCTGAGAATTAGCTGAAGAGCAGGCTCCATCCCTGAACTTTCTGTAGGCAACCATGTTCAGAAGCCCAGGGATTTCTAGCTATTGGGGAGCTTTCCAGTTCTCTGAAAACAAAGGTAAGGCAGCAAGAGAAATAGAAAATGCACTTAAGTGTTTATTTCATAACATAATGAATGCCTTGTGTCTTTCACCTTGCAGGCTCCTGTGTCCAGCTACTTAGATGTTTTTTTTCAAAGGATACGTTAAATAGCTAATTGACTGTATAAATTAGCTTATCTTGTGATTGCTGAAAAACGTGATTTTTTGGTTTCTGTTGTAAGTTAGAGATATTGCCAAATCACCAAAGCCTTTAGGTAGGAAACACTGTAAATGAAATTGGAATGCCCAAACTTCAGGATGTGCTGCACTTTAGCTAAAATATTTTTCTAAACCAAATGCTTTATCTACTGCATTATCTCCAATGGACAGTGGTGAGTGTGTCTTTATGAAATTTTCACGTGAGACTGTTTCGAATGAAAACGTCTTTTTCGTGGCTTCCTTTCAAGCACGGAGGGAAATAGTTGCTTTCAGTTTAAGAACTGAAGTGGCATCACTGATTCAGTTCACTGGTGGAACAAGAATGAAACGCTCAGGTTATTTTGAATGTCACATTGGAAATTCAGCCGTTGTACGTGAAAGTGTTTTCTAGCACAGATGCACTATTAGGAAGTGATCTGAACCATCCAGGCCTCAGACTCAGGAATTTTCTATAATATTTGAATGGTTTTCTGAACCGACTTCTCATTTTCTGAATCCGTGACGAAGTTATTTGGGTAATTAGGAGAAAAGCCTAGATGATCTGATGGCACTATACCTTCTGTTTTGTTTTATTTCTCTGGTTGGTCAGAATTTCCAGATTGTAGGATTCAGGATGTGTTTTGGTGGGTCATGACACGTCGGCATCTGGTATATTTTGTGCCTTCTTGAACTCAAGCTTCTGCCCCCAAATACTAAACAGGAAAAGGCACTTGCATGGGGGAAGAAATCACTGTAAGTGGTCTCGTTGTGGTTTTCTTGGTGGACGAATGGTTGCTATGCCAAGAGCAGTAAAACAGATTACTTACCCAAGGCCGGTGATAAATTTGTCTGCGCCTGGTTTTGATTAGCCAGTTCACTCGGATGTGTGTTTTTGCTCTGTGGGTTTGTTACCAGCTGTCTCTATATAATCTGTATCTTGTCTTCAGAAATAAATAAATAAGTGGCTAGTTTGATGTGTTGTTGCTACTTGGCTTTTAACGAAAGCAGTGAAAACACAGCTGGAGTGTCCCACCTCTGTCCAGCAACCTCTCTGTGCCATCTTGAAAACCCTGCCGTGCCATCTTGAAAAGCATCTCAAATGTATCAGGCAGTGATGACTTTCACGTGTCTTGTTCCCTTGACAGAAATTGTTTAATATTTTTCTCCTTTTTTTTTCCTTAGTGTAACAGTCAGTATTTAATTGCTTTGAATTCTTGTAGCTATAATGAATTTAAGTGATAGCATTGAACTAAATCAGAATTTTTTTTAATTACCCATGGAGTTAACCAAAAACAAAAACAAACTTGCCTGTGTAGGATGTATGCTGTGGAATTTGATTCTTAAAGCTGTCCTTTTTATATTCCTATTTCTGGTTAATGTTTTCATTTTTCTTAAATTACATGTTCTCAAAGGGAGTTTGAAACATTTTTCCCCACTGGACTTCATTTAGTTTTTTGTTTTTGTTTTTGTTTTGTTTTGGTTTGGTTTTAACTTATCATGTAGCTATTTCAATGTTACATTATTTCTTTCCCCTCAGATTTGAACAAGAAAAACGTAAGCTTCACTGGATTCCCACATCAAAGAAGAGTTCCCAGGTAAAGTAGTCTTTGCTCAGGCATCTTACATTTAGAAGATTTGTAGTAGCTTGTGAAATTATTCTCCTAAAGTCCAAATTTGTGAGTTTAAATGTTTGAAAAAAATGTTTTCTTCCCAGAGTTTGATTTATTAAAACTTTTGAAGCGAGCTGACTCAGCAGTACATTCAGCCAGCAAAGATTCTTTTTTTATTTAATGCGTTTATGGAAACTATTTGCAGAATGGGATATTGCTTACTCTGTAATTGCAGACTTATAAAGGCCTATTTTTTCTTTCTCGTATCTGCCTCCAAGTATGAGATGTCTTTTTTGCAATTTATCTATCAAGGGAGATTTTGAGTTTTTAAGAAAGAAATGAGCCTTGTTCCTCCTCCATCTCTCCCTTCTTCCCTTCCTCCCCTGCCTCCACCCACCCACCCACCCACCCGCCTCACCATCTGTCCATGTGAGTTCTTGGTGCCTGGTCTCTTAACCTTTCTGCACTTCAGTTCCCATTGGCTGTAGGATATTATGGGTACTAATTTGATTTACGTGATGTTCTGAAACTCCCTGGTACATCATCACTGATAGGAGATAACATAAAAATCAAAGTTCGTGCCAAACAACATAGCTGTATCTCGGGTGCCTCCTAGCTGATCGCTGTTCCTAGCAGATTTTGAGAGTTTCAGGTAGAGGCACAAAATGATTCTCTCTTACGCACACAGGTGTGGATTTCAACATACACTTCAGTATGCTAGAAGGACCCAAGCCAGGTCCACCTTTCGTGCCACTCAGATGCTCTTGGTCTTAATCTATTATGTAAGACATTGTTTCTTTGCTTTAAAAGTTTGCATTTCAAGAGCATTGGAGTACGCAGTTGGCAGGCTAAGCTGGGCTCTGCTTTTGAAAAGGGCAGAATTCACCTTGTTGAAGGTGGTGTATCCCTTCATCCACATCTTAGTGTCAGAGCCATAATGAGGCAGGGTTATGAGTAAGGTTGTCTTATTTGACTCCTGCAACCTCCCTTTTCTAGTGCTTGCCAGTCTCCCATATTTCTCATCTTTGCTGTATTTTTTAATAGATGCTAAGGCTTCTGTCTCAGTCTGTTCAGGCTTCCATAACAAAATACCATAGACCGAGTGGCTTCTGAGCAATAGACACTTACTTCTTCTCATGGTTCTGGAGGCTGGAAGCCTGAGGTCAGGGTCCCACTGTGATGGAGTGAGCACCCTCTTCCAGGTTGCAGACTGCTGACCTCATGTGTCCTCACTTGGCGGAATGGGCTGGGGAGAGCCCTCTGAGCTCCTTTTTATAAGGGCATTAATCCCACTCAGGAGGGCTCCACCCTCATGGCATAATCACCTTCCAAAGGCTCCACCTTCTAATATCACATTTGGGGGTTAGGATTTCAACATACGAATTTGGGGGAACACAAACATTCAGACCACAGGAGCTTCAATCCCAGGATGTCCCTAGCAGGTTGGCTTAGCCAGAGGAGAGCTAACGAGCGACTAACAGAACAGAAGAAAAGGAAGTGGAGATCGGAAGGCATGGCTTTCCCAAGGAAAAGTACGAAATATGAATGAAGGTCGGTTGCTTCAGGGGAGAGCGGCTCAGAGGGACACAACTGTTCTAAAACATGGAGTTATTTCACGTGTACTTATTAGAACGTTGGCCTCCTGGCCATGGTACTAAGTGTAAAATGGGCTGGAAATCCAAGAACCTGCCTCCTTTAGAGGAGTCCAGTCACCTGGACACCAGAGGTGCAATTCTGAGGCCATGGACTTCGTTCTCCGTATCTTATAACTTGAACTTCAGTAGAAGAGGGAGCAAATCATAGAGGGGCCTTTCACTGTGTGGACACTGAACAGTCGTCGTAATCATATTGCCCACATTTGGTAAAAGATAGATGGAGACAACAGCAGAATATCGTGCTCTCACTTTAAGAAAATTTCCCCTGATTGCTCTTGCTGGGCATTTAAGTAGGTTAATGGAACACATTAAAAGAAAAAATTATTATGGAAGCAAAGGGCAGGCTCTTCTTAGATTGTTGAAGCAGAGGGAAAGGGGTGGAAGTATGAAAAAAAATTGAGGAGGCGAAGATAGACAGAACATATTAAAGGTATTTCTTAACATTAGAAACTTTTAAAATTATAATTCAAAAAAATTAAGACTGTGGCATATATTTTAGTTATATATGGAGAGGCCATTTCTTACTGAAAGAGGGTCATACTTTCGGCTTAAGCAGAGACCTCTTGTCCTGGAGCGGGTGACCATGAGAAAAAGTACAACCCAGCAGCAGAGCTTAGACTTTGGAGCTGCCGGTTGTGCGAGCTGGGGACGGCCCCGCTGGCGACACCGCTCTGGTGCCTCTGACTCGGAGCAGCGAGAGGGGCGATGCTAGGGTTTTGGTGGCTGTTTGTCAGTGTTTGACCAGCCATTAGCTTATCAGACGGAGTTCCTCATCCACGAACAGTCCAGATCTGTTTAATAGCGTGTCTTGCCCGCATTTTCACTGCTGGCTAGCGCCCTCGGGAGTGGGTGGGCCAGGGAAGAGATGTGGCTTTTTTTCAAAACCTGGTTTCCTATTGACTGGACTGGGGAGGTTTTGCATCAGTCACAGCTTTTGTAACAGTTTTGAGTCAGAGCCACTGATATATACACGTATAGATGTGTATTGAGTAAATGAATGAATGAATGAATGACTACAATAAAATACCTGAAGGGTAGATTATGACTCACTCTGAAGTATTTCATGCTGATGATGTGATGGAGCAAACAGCACTATCAATATGGAGAACATTTAAAAAAATCAATCATTTGAACTCAGACACTTGTATGTTCTACAGATAGGAAAGCAGGCTAACGTGAGAGAGAACAATAAGGGCCCATAAATAAAGATTTGGGGCCAGTGAGACAGGCACTGGGGCAGAAGGCTTTTCCCCGAGGAAATGATCTTAAACTGAGGCCCAGACCAGGGGGGTGTCAGCCCGGACAGAAGGAGGCTGGAGAGGAGGCAGCGTTTTCAGTAAACCGTGCTAAGGGGCGTGAGAGGTGTTCCTCCCGTGCTTTGGTTTTCCCATCGGTTTCTGAGCAACTGTGAGAGGCTGCTCTTTCCACCGGTGCTGACGCTACACCCCTTGCAGCTGGTTTCAAGAAAGTAAGTGCTTATGTAGCCAAGGGTGTTGGGTGATGACTTGTAAACCTCACTCTGTCAAAGTTCAGCAGAATGTTTAACTAGAGCGTAGTTTCTTAGTCTACATTTTTGGTTCCGTGGAGCTTTCTGATGAGCAGATAAAAGGGGGAACATAGACACACAGATGTTTCTTTTTGAAAATAGGAGAAAATACTTGTAGCCCAGATCAATGATCTTGGGAGCTGAATATTTCAGGGGTTGCATCATTTTGGTTTAATATCGAATTTTTGAGAATTCAAAAAATCTTGAATTACTGAGATTTCAGTGTCCCAAAGAAAGAACAGAACTTACCAGGTTATTTCCAGCAGTTAAATAATCAACTGAAAGAGCATGCCATCCCTTAATTAGGGTCCCCTTCTGCAGTCATTTAATTTTTTAGGTTTATGCTAAATTACACCTCTGAATAAAAGGCCGGGCATGACTGTCACTGTGTTATGAGTCACGGTTGAGAAGTCAGGGCTCATTCTAAGTTTTTGACCTAAGCAATTGTCTTAGGATCTTCAAGCCATCTGGAGTGTGCTTTGTAAAGACTACTTATTCTCGACTTTTTACTAAATAGTGGGAATATATGGCACTTATATTTGTGAATACAAGCCATTCCACATGAATCAGCAAGAACCATGATGTCGGATGAGTTTGGTTTTAGGAAAACGGGATGGTATACCATATTTTGGAGCATCTTTACGTTCCTTGAAGTTTAACTTAATTTTATGTAGGATGTAGATGATTGACATGCCCCCTTACATAGCACGCACAGCCCCTCCCTCAGTCTCCTGTCGGGGCCCTGTGGACATGCACCCCTGCAGGGACCGAGGCACAGAGGACTGTCCTACGGGGACACTCAGCTTTGCGCTGGAGGTGATCGTATCACTGGGCAAGGTTAGTTTCCTGTTTTCCCAGGTGTGTTTGTCCCCTGCGAGGCAGCAGCTCTGTCTGTCTTGCCCAACTCCAGGCACGTTCCCGTGGGGACCTTGGACTTGAGGGGAGCCTGGACTTGAGGGGACCACATCTTGGGGCGAAGATGACCGTAGCTCCAGTGGTGTGTCGGGGCGGCTCGCACTCCCTGATGAGCACACCTGTGTGCCTTTCTCCCAGCTCAGGGTCCTTGAGTCCTGGTGGAGCTTGAAAATTGGCAATGCTGGGAGTGTTTACATCACCCACAAATCCTGCAGGACAGGCACTTTCGGGGAGTTGGGGGGCCTGGCAAGATGAAGGAGCCGATTGTTAATCTTGCACCAGCACAGCCATAAGTAGTTCATGCCTCAGAGGGTCTGGTGACGTTCACACACGCCTGGGATGTGCTTCGTGTAGAAGAAACGTACAAAGCAGGTGCTCAGTTCCTTTATTCTTCTCCCCTTTCATTTCTTTTTTTCTCCCCCCAGACAAGGCTTCATGAACCTTTCAGACCTATTCACCAGACTTTGATTTCTTGTTTATTTGAAGGCATTTGTAACTTTAATTTCAACACTGGAGGAAAGCAGGTAGATTCTCTAGACAAGTGGCTGATTTTCTGAGGAAGACCCTGTAGCACAGAAAGGTTGAGTGATCGCTCCACGCTTGCACAGCTCTTGGTGGCTCTAGAAGAGGTTGCGGTCTGAACCGAGGCATCCGGCTCCCAGTGTAGCGATGTTTTTACTGCCCTGCCTCCACCACTTGCCGACGCCGCACAAAAAATCGTATTAACCTAATCTTAAATAAATGGAAAGACGCTACCAAGAGAACTCCCCCAAATAAAATGTTTTATTTGTAATCTGTCCACACATATTTAACTATGTGTGAGAGGAGCATGATTTTTATGTTCTGCATCATTTCTCTTCATATTGTATACCTGGATTTAAACTGACGTTAAATTTTTTTTTATTTTTATACAATGTTTAATTGTAGGCAATTTATAATGTGTTAATTTCTGGGATACAGCATAGGGTTTCACTGATCACTTTTCCTATTCTTTATTATAGGCAATTCCAAGGTATTGAGTATAGTTCCCTGTGCTCTACAATAGGACCTCGTTGTTTATCTATTTTATACATAGTACTTCATATGTACAGATCCCGAACTCCCAACTTATCCTTCCCCACTCCCTTTCCCCACTGATAACCAGAAGTTTGTTTTCTATTTAAACATTTTATTAATGGAGTAACTTTTAGCTTTCAGAAAGAGTTCTTGCTTGAAGACAAAGAGCAGCTTGCCAACCACAGAAGAATTGATGCTCAGCTTTTCACTGCACTTCCTAAAGGTGAGACTTCTTCTAGATGAACAATAATGTAGCCAATATTGAGATCAGAAAAATTAAGGACAATATAAGATACTAGATTCCTTAAGGTTCAACACCATTTAACTCCGCATATAACAACTTTTAAAACGTATAACCTTGTTCATCAATTTCATTAAAAATTTTCTCATAATTGGTCATAAAAATCATAATTTTCACTAATCAAAGATGATTTGCTTTATGTATTCACTGGATTTATGTTTCTAATCAAAGTAATCAAGAGATGAAAAAACCTTTCTTTACCTATGTAAAGATGATCATATTAAAATAGAAGTTTTCATTTGGGAATTATGAAGTGGACCAAATCTATTATTCTACTTTTTTTAAAAACAGCTTCATTGAGATCTAACTCCTGTACCATACAGTTCATCCATTTAAAGTCTACAGTCCACTGGCTTTCAGTGGATTCACAGAGTTGTGCACCCACCACCAGTTAATTTTAGAGCCTTTTCTTTATTCCAAAAGAAACCCCACACTTCTTAGCCACCACCTCTCTTCTTTATTCCTCTAGGTTTGTAATGACTTATTCTATAAGCTCTGGTCTTTATATTAGTGGCTGCCATCCAAGAGTAAAAGTGAAATTGCATTACTCCTATGGGAAGGAAGCTCAGAATTCAGAATATTCTGGATCTGAGCTCTCAAATGCAGGTGGGGAGAAAGCCGTTCTTCGCAGTCCCCAGGGCACTTTTATTTCTTTGGAAGATTCTACTGTACTCAGGTTTAGGGGACTGAGCTCAACAATAGCTTTACCAGAAGGCCTGTTCTCGGAACTAATTGAAGAAACCACGTTTCCCAGGAAAGCACTAGCAGAGCAAATCATCCCGAGGATTGGGATTATGTATTATTACAAAGCATATGAGGCCGTTAAATAATTTTATAAAGTATTATAGGCCTGATGTCAAATCCCCTTAAATTGTCTTACTTGGAAAATGAGCAAGCAATTCCCATCAGAAATAACTGAAGGAACAGACTTACAGAATCCATATTGCTCAGACCAGGGCAGCAGCCTAAAATCGCAGGTGTAACAGGGGGAATTTAGTATCCGTAAAAGCCTCATGTCCATGACAGCAAAGAAGAAAATTTATTTCAGTGGAAGTTAGATCAACTGCGCTTGTTTCTATCTGGATTTATGATGGCTAGCATCACTATGTTCTGAACCGTGGATCAGTTGTCTACGTACGATGCAACATACAATCAATTGAATTACGGCTCTTGAATCTTATTTTTAAAAATTCTTATTCCTTGCTTTCAGGAAGCAGACACTGAAGAATTTAGAGATCCAAGGGGCATCAGGCTGCCACTTTCTCTTAAATGGTTCAGAAAAATGAATATGTAAATATGTGCACTTGTATGCATGTGCTTGTACACAAAATACACGTAGGGAGAGAGAAGAAGGGGGTAAAAATAAATCAAGTGTAGTAACTAGCGTTAACATATGACAGATGTCTTAATTTTTCTCTGAGTCTGAAATTATATGAAAATTTTAAAGGAGGAATCCTTTCGGTAGGTCATAAACACTGATAAACTATATTCAATGCTGTCAGTCAGAAGATAACGGTGAGAGAACAGTAGGTGGTCTCTATAAGTGAGGCGTGGAGTGACAATGTGTTTCCACAGTAGGAACGGCTTCCAGGATTTCTTAGTACTAGCTTTTTTTTTTGTTTTTCCAGTGCTTTACAATAAACCTGGCCAAAATTCAGTGGTGGGTACCAATAAGGACAAGTGCCCATACAAAGGTTTGTTTTTTTTTTCTTGAAAGGAATAAAAAAAGTACACACACACACATCAGTGGTCCAAGTAATACATTCTCTTTTCTGCAACCAAAGTGTTTTCCCACAGAATAGATATACTAGAGTAATTCTGTTATTTGTTTGTTTTACTGATTTTACTTTTGAACTGTGGACTTGGGGAAGGGAAACCAAACTCACGATGCCTGTGACTTCTCTCTGTCCTTCCACATCATTTCTTCTCCCTCTTATCTCATGTCTATGGGAATGAGACTGGTCCTGGGCATTAAAAGACTTTATTTGTTCCAAAGAGTGGACTAAGAGGAAGTTTATCTGCTGGAGGGGTTTTTAATTTTCCTGACAGATTCACTGTAGATTTCCACAAAGAATTAACAAGCTTATGGATACATTTAAAGTCGAGTTTGATCTGTGCTCTCATTTCATTCCTCAGTAAATGGTCAGAGAGGACGATAAGGTTATAAGCCTTGAAATAGTTTTGAGTTTGAATGCAGGCTTGATTGAAAAGGCAGCGGTGCTGGACTAGTGGTGTCCACCGTCACCGGAGCCTAGGGTGTGGGTGGACATCTGCTGCACCGCCTGCCTGTTCGCTCTCTCCGTGCTTCTCTGTACTGGGCTTCACTCAGGACAGTCCCATCCCTAAGGGGGGCTTTGCAAACATGCGGGAGGACCCGGGACTGATTTGGCTTTTAAGAGGGGAGCCAGGGAGACAGTATCCTACAGTAGAGGGCTCACAACCAAGAAATTTCCTCTCAAAAACACCCCCGGCGTGATCTGTGATCTGTTCCAGAGCCAGCCCCCTGAGTCTGTGACCCTGAGGGGGGCACACCTGTTTGTCTGCTGAATGCTGTCCTTTCTAAGACCCCGTATCCCCGAGAGTGAGTTGCTAGCAGACGATGACAGTGTTTGTTGGTGGGTTTTCCAGCCTGTTTTGTCCAGAAAGGGACACCTGCCCTGTCCCTCTCTTTCACTGCCCCAGACTTCTTGGGGTTCAGGTTCTGTGAACTACATTCTGACCTTCTGCCTGCCCCCTTCCCATATTGTCTTAGTCCTTACAGAACATTGGAGCAGGAAAGTAAGGGCAGTCAGGAAAAAGATGCTTTGGTTGTGGGCGGGACGTTCACACAGTCTCCCGTCGAGTTGATTTTTCCTTCCAGATTCTGGGAAATGAAGAATGTCAGGAGGGAGCTGGTTGCTTCCCTGTTTCACTGTACTGTTGGATTTTTTAAAAATGTCTTTTGTTGCATAACTTTTATAGAAAATTTTAAAAATTAAAAATGTAATGAAATGCAAATGTTGTTCAGTCTCAAATTAGGACAAAAAAACATACTTAATTTTTCCCAGGGGACGTTAACATGCCACACTGGGTACATTACATAAATATATTTTATACTTGCTCTGTCTTAGTGCATTCAGGCCGTTGTGACAACACACTGTACGCTGAGTGGCTTAGAAACAGCAGAAAAGTACTGCTCACTGTTCTGGAGGCCAGAAGCCCAAGGTCAGGGTCACAGCATGATCGGGTTCTGGTGAGGACCCTCTTAGGGTTGCAAACTGCCAAGTTCTCCTGGCATCATTATATGGTAGGAGGGGCTCAGGGCTCTGTGGGCCTCTATAGAAGGGTACCAGTCCCATTCAGGAGGGCCTCATCATCTCCCAAAGGCCCCACCTCCTAACACCATCACTTAGAGGGTTAGGATTTCAACATATGAATTTAGTGGGGGAGGGGACATACACATTCAGGCCGTAACATACCTAGTGGAAATAATTTGGGAGGGGTCTAAAAGGCCACGTGTCATTATGCTACTGAAGACCCTATCATAGACTCCATTTCTCAGGTATGGGTTTGGGACATGGGTTTAAGAAAAATCTTTCAAGGGGAGGGTACTGCTCAGAGGTAGAGCACATGGTTAGAATGCACAAGGTCCTGGGTTCAATCCCCAGTATCTCTGTTAAAAATAAACAAGTAAATAAATAAATAAACCAAATTACCTCCCCACCCCCCCTTAAAAAAGAAATGTTTCAGAGCACTTGGAATTTGGTCTCCACAGCTTTGGGGGCAGGTTTTTGTTTTTGTTTTTTACTTTTTTTTAATTGAAGTACAGTCAGTTTACAATGTTGTGTCAATTTCTGGTGTACAGCACAATACACAGTCATACATGAACATACATATATTCGTTTTCATATTCTTTTTCACCGTGAGCTACAAGATAGCAAATATAGTTCCCTGTGCTGTACAGTATAAACTTGTATCTGCAAATCTCGAACTCCCAATTTATCCCTTCCCTACACCCTTTCCCCCTGGTAACCATAAGTTTGTTTTCTATGTCTGTGAATCTGTTTCTGTTTTTATAAATATGTTCATCTTATTTTTAGATTCCACATATGAGTGATATCATATGGTATTTCTCTTTCTCTTTCTGGCTTACTTCACTTAGAATGACATTATCCAGGGCCATGCATGTTGCTGCAAATGGCATTATTTTATTATTTTTTATGATCAATTAGTATTCCATTGTATAAATATACCACATCTTCTTTATCCAGTCATCTGTCAGTGGGCATTTAGGTTGTTTCCATATCTTGGCTATTGTAAATAGTGCTGCTATGAATACTGGGGTGCTGGTGTCTTTTTGGATTAAGGTTCACACTGGATATATGCCCAGGAGTGGGGTTGCTGGATCATATGGTAAGTCTATTTTTAGTCTTTTGAAGAATCTCCTTGCTGTTTTCCACAATGGCTGCACCAAACTACATTCCCACCAATAGTGTAGGAGGGTTTGGGGCAGTTTTGTACTTAATACAGCTCCATTCTCCTCTTTGGAGCTTAAATAATTAAATCATTAATTGACTCATCCTTGAAAATATTTTCCAAATATGTACTACCAGCCATTAAAGTTTTGTCACCGTAATCTCACTAGGGCTAATTTGTTAACTGGGGAGCTGCTATCAGCCACACTTCCAGCCAGATAAAGGCAGGATGCACCTTTATCATTGTACCCTTGGCTTTGACACAGGAACATGATTGTCAGTGTGAGCAAGCACATCTCTCTGCACCAGGTACTCTGGTCGCAGGAAGGCCAATTGAGAGAGAGACACTTGATGGCCACTATCTTAACAGGAGTCGATCCAGCTAAACTATTAAGGTGGCTGTCATTTTAAAATAAGTAAGTTAAAAACATGGCCAGAGCTTTGCAAAGTGTCAGTATTGTCACCAGTGAGGTTTCTCCAAGGCATGATTATTGATTTTGGAAAACTTTTCCCAATACCCCTGCCATGATGACTTGAAATATAGTCGGCATTGGCAATTTTTGACAGTCTCTGTAGAGATAGAATTTTTTAAAAAGCCGTATTTGGGATCTCTGAACACATCAAAGGGCAATATAAAATCGTGTGTGTGTGCACACACGCGTGTGTAGTGTTTTTCCCTTTTTTTAATTGAAGTAGAGTTGATTTACGATGTTGTGTTAATTGCAGGTGTACAGCATAGTGATTCAGTTATACGTGCACATATATATACATATTCTTTTTCATTTCAAGTTGCTACAAGCCATTGCATAGAGTTCCCTGTGCTGCACAGGAGGACCTTGTTTATTCTGTACAGAGTAGTTTGTATCTGCCAATCCCAAGCATGTGTGGTTTTGACCCATTACTAAAAATGACCATTTAAAAAAATAAAATGGAAATTGAAGCAGTTGAAAATTAAATTCCATGCATTCCTCCCCTCTCCTTTGAGTTTCTTCTTTGACTCAGCATTTGAAATGTTTCGTGGGCCCCAGGTCTGTCACAGCCCGCCCCTCTTCCCGGGTCCTCAGTGGGAACCACTCAGATGAGCCCTTGTGAATTCACATAATTGAGGAGGAGGCGAGAAGAGCGACCTTTGCTCTCTACCAACTGTGGCCACGACTCCAAAGAAACAATTGTTTGGCACCTGAGTAATATCCTTGTAGTCAGTGTCACGTGAGACCCTCCCAACGTCAGCGAAACATTTCTCTGGTCTTGCAGTGTCATCAGGAGAGTAAGGGATGGTAACCTTATCCATCATCCACCTAAATTTTAGCCGGGAAACAGATGTTAACATTTCCTTCCAGTGGAAGCCTGTAAGGGGAGGCAGAGGAACTATGTTCCTGTAAAGCGCAGGTGATCAAGGTGTGTACGTTACCTACCGTTAGAAACACAGTCAGGTAGTTACAGACGTTTGCAGGGTCAGGGATCGGTGAGGTTGGAGTGGGGTGAGTCCTGGTTGGGAGAGTTTGCTGATGGGCATACGAGGTTCATAATACTTTCCTCTCTACTCTTGCAAATGTCTGAAGTTTTGCATGATGGAAAACTTAAAATACTTTGTGAAATCCAATAAAAATTAAAAATAGTGAGGCTACTGCTTGCTGGAGAGCTTTTACTAGTGAGGCTTCCTCTGACAACCCAGATGAGATAAAACTCCCTCCTGTTACTCCATCCTTTATTCTCATGGTCTTACTTCTTGGACCAACCTGTGATGCCTTTGTGTGTGTGTGTGTGTGTGTACACACTCACTTGGCGTCTGCCTCGCCTGTTATAAGACAGTCTCCGGGAAGGCAGGAGTGGTGTCGACTTTGTCCATCACTTATTGCACGGGAGCCACAGACAGAAATATGAGTTCAGTAAATGTGCATCACATGGACGACTGAAATGAATGCATGACGACTCAACCCTGGACTTTGTTCCCTTTTGTTTTATTTCAGTTGCAGAATTAAGAAAAATCTTTGAACCAAAGAGGAAAGAATTTTTAGAAATGAAAAGGTAAGATGTCTGTTGCACCTGATTCGGAAGCAGGAGGGCTGGGCAAAGTCACGTGCGGTGTTCCTTTAGGACCCGTGTCCCTTGCTTACCCCGCCTTTGTCGGTGTCTCGCACAGAAAAGAAAGAATCGCCAGGCGCTTAGAAGGAATTGAGACCGACACCCAGCCCATCCTCTTGCAGAGCTGCACCGGGTTAGTGACTCACCGCCTGCTGGAGGAAGACACCCCCAGATACACGCGTGCCACGGACCCGGCCAGCCCGCGCATCGGTGAGCACAGCCTGCTGGCCCCTCAGACTTTTAGATCTAGCGCTGTTGGCAAGTGAGATATTCCCCAAAGAGTGAATGGTGTAGGTGTCATTTTTATTAAATGTGTATATTTGTTAAAAACCAGCACTCCCAGCCATGGGCTGCTCCGCCATGGCTCCTGGGTGTGGTCCTCCGGTGTCACAGCGTGAGGAGTGATCCCGCTTTGGGGTACCTGATGATCAGTCCTTTCTCCCCCTTAGCCTGGGACCCTTCAAGGCAGGAACTCTGTTTCTCTCTTGGTACTGTTGGGGCCCCAGCTGTCAGACATCCTCAGGTTTGTTTGGTAAAAGGCTGACTGAGACATATGTCTCTTATAATAGGTTTAAAAGGAAAGCCCAGACGCCCGGCACAGGGCTTGGCAGGGAGTGTAAAGAGCAGAGCTGGACCTTGAATGTTGAGGGTTCCTACTCTACGTGTGAATGCAGCAGACACCCTGTTGAAATTATTGTAATATATGTAATTTTAAATGCACTGGGTATTCGTTTCATATTAAACAGCATGTCACACGTGACAGCTTTTCCTTGATTGCTCAGTCATTGGTATGGGCTCCAATAGTCAAGGTGACCTTGGAGAGGATGGCACATCTGGCTGGTCCTCCGGCCCTGTTCCTGGCCCTGCAGCTCTCTGCTGCTGCTTCCGATAGTCAGTGTTTTCTTGTTTCTTCCTCAGAGAGGGCTGTTGGTCTCACTGCATGCTGTGATAAGGTCACCTATCTCTAGAGTTTCTCATCTTCAGAAAACTAAAGAACTCGGTTTTCTTTTAATTGCATACATGAAGAATGAAGAATAAACAGAGTACCAAAATTTATGGCCAGAAGTAAACCCAAGTATATGTAAAACGTTAATCTGTTCATCATGTGATAATTTAAGCATCACATGTTAGTAAGAATTACTTCATAAACTGTGAGAGCTGGGGGAGGAGCTGTGTCCCCTCCTCACTACATCTTAAACACAAAAATAAAGTCCAGTTAATCACCTGATCAATTTTAAGAGAATAATTACAAGCATGAATACAGAGGTGAATATTTAATTCCAGTTGAATGGACAAGGACTTTCAAAACACAGAAACAGCTGCCGAAATCGCTAGTGGCCAGATCAGTGACAATTAACATTTGTACTTCAAGGAGAATCTTACACAGACTTCACGAAAAATTAAGGAAGTTTGAAAATATTCATGAAGAAGATAAAGAGCTCATATTCCTGTAAAATTTTAGGCAAACCAATAAAAATGACACTATGAATCAGTAGAATATAGAACAGTAAGCTTGACCAGAGAAGGAAAGGATAATACAAGTGGCTAATAAATTGAGAAATGCACATTCCCTTTTTCTAGTAAGAAGGGCAAATTTTAAAATTAATACTCAGTGTTTGTGAGAGAACATACATTGCAGATTCGAGTGTAAATTGATGCAGACTTTATAGAAATTAATTTGATAGTCTGGTGTCTTAGAATGATACATCTATTGATAAAGCAATTCTACTTTCACACTTCTGTCTATTGTAAGTAGCAAATCAGACTGATTAAAAGTCAGAAGCAACTTAAATGCTCAGAAATACAATAAGAGTTTAATTATAGAATGCCTGCTGGATGGAATATTATGAAGCCTTAAAACAATGATGTCTTCAAAATAAGATTTCCAGATTTAGGAAAATGTTTTCTATAGAATATTCATGCTATATCAAACATGAATTGTTTTATACAGAAAAAAAGAAATCATTTATATAAAAGACTAGAAGGACTATAGAAAAGTTTAGCAAATTATCAGTTTATTTATTACTGGCTATTCTCTATTTGTGATTATTGGTGATTTGAGGGTTAACCTTCCTTGCTTTCATTGTAGACATTTTCTACATCAAGCATGCATAGTATAATCAGAAAAAGCCACTTCTGGTAAAAAACAAAAAACCCAGCTGCTGCCTGGTGGAAATTGACATGAGCCATTATTGTTATGGTTACTATCAGATCCCAGGAAACCGCAATCCATCATTTGTCAGATTGTAGCAGTTCCAATATCTGTTATCTCTTTTAGAGGACTCTGAACCCATCCTCTGGCCTCACATGTGAAACATTAAAATGCGAAAGCAAAAAAAACAGTAAATAAACAAGGGGAAGTGGTCCTGAGCAAGACTGAGGGCTGTCGGGATTGAGCTTTATGTGAGGCCACACTTGATGTGAGCGTCACTGCCTTCCCGTGTTTCACTGCAGCATCCTGGGTAAATCAGCTCTGCCACTCACCGCCCATGGTGTGCAGAATAGAATATACTACATATGTGTCTTTGCTTGAAATCTGCACGTGTGACTTCTGTGATTCCTTGTAGGCCGATCAAATGAAGAGGAAGAAACTTCTGATTCTTCGTTAGAAAAGCAGACTCGATCCAAACACGCCCCGGACCCCCCGGGCGTCCATGGCGACGCCCCCTGCGGTTCAGGGATCATGGACACCCAGAGCCTTGAGTCCAAAGCCGAACGAATCGCAAGGTACAAAGCAGAGAGGAGGCGGCAGCTGGCAGAGAAGTATGGGCTCACTCTGGACCCGGAGGTGGACGCCAAGCCTCCATCCCGGTACACCAAGGCCAGGAAGGACCCCGAGGCCATTGAGAAAAGGGGAGGAAAAAGTGACCGATCAGCCGAGTCAAGCAAAGATTTGGGCTCTTCCTACTCCAGGACTGAGATCCCAGGGCTCAGGACCAGTGTAGCCGAGTCCAAGGACTATGCCCTCCACCGGGGTGATGGGGTTTCCGACACAGAGGTGCTGCTCAATGTAGAAAACCAAAGACGAGGTCAGGAGCCCAGTGCCGCTGGGCCAGCCCGAGACCTGCTTCCCCCGGGGGAGAGCTCCTCATCCTTCTCATTCTCTGGGCGAGACAGTGCCCTCAGCGAAGTGCCAAGGTCCCCAAAGCAAATGCACAGCGTGCCCATCCCATCGCCGGGGCAGCCGGCCTCCCCCAGCCCCTCCACTGGTGACCTGCCGCTCCCTGCCGAGGCTCGACCCAGGTAAGCCCACCTTCCTCCTGCACAGATCCCCGCTGACCCGCAGATGCCCGCATCGCCTCTGCCACACTGCCGTGTCTGTGATCTGGGGTCCCTGGCATTCCCTGGAGGTCTGTGCTCACCACAGAAATAACATGATACATGATTTCTTAATTTCCATTCTGTCAAAACAGGTTCTGTGGAAGCAGGGAGCCTCGCGTTCATTTGTCCGTCCTTCCGTTCTTTCTTTTCATTCTTTCTTTTCTTTCTCTTTCTTTCCTTCTTTCTTTCGATATGTTCTTTTTTTAACGAATAAACTGAACAGGTGTCACGGGGACACGCCTTCATGGAAGCCTCACTTCAGGACCCTTCTTCTGACTGTGGTTCTCAGCTGCCTTTACCAACTGTCTTTTTCTTTCTTTGTTTCTCTGTGATCATACCCAGGACTTTGGGGTGGTTGTTTTTGTTGCTGTCATTTAAAAAGCACAAAACAGGACATTACTGACACTGTCCAGTGAGTCTCAGTTTAGGGTGTGAAGACTGACTGCAGTGTATGCCGAATTTAACTGCAGCATATAGTTATGTATGTATATTGACACACTAAGAAAACTGCTGTGTTTAAGAGCGCCTCGCTGGAAATCCTAGCCAGTAGGAGAAATCCCTGTGTCATAGGATCAACCTATGGAGAACCAGAAAAGGGGTAAAACCATAAAGTCAGATGCCAGAAGAGAATATGTGTTTTTTCCTTAGTTTAAACATCTCAATTTAAATCTAATTTAAATATTTAAATCTAATTTAAATACCGATTTGAATTTGATTTGAATATCTAAATTTAACTTAAACTTCAGTTAAATTTAGATATTCAAATCTAATAGGTATGATAACCATATTTAAAATGCAATTTACTGAAACAGCCTACTTTATGGTTTAGGGTAATCCTCTAGGCAGATTCCTAAGTGCATTTTTCAGTTCAAACAAGCATTAGTTTCGCAGGTGGATTGAGGAGGGATGAGAACCTGAGATCAAGCAAATTTATCCGGGACAGAGAAAGATGTTGAAAAATATTCCTGTTTATTCCACCCGGGGACAGAGCAGGAGATACGGTCATCTTCACATGGCAGTAACACATCTAGAACAGCTCATTTTAGTTATTGGAGTTTATTGACCTGAAAACCTGTCACCGCTTGCTTCCACACTAAAATATTTAGAGATGTTAGCTTCTAAGAGAATGAAACGGTATGGGTGCTGAGATTGTACTGTGAAGGTCTTTGTTCAGCCTTTGCACTTAACTGCTTGAAATGTAGGGACCCGTTGTCTTATATTTTGAAACAGAAGTCTGTTGTTTGGGAAATTTGCATTTCACAGTAAAAAACAGTGTTCTTGGGTTAGTTTCTCTCTATCAAAGCAAACTCTTCACGTGCTATGTGAGCAGGACAAAGAAACCTACCATTACAATTTACAGAGAAAATTAGAGGCTGACAGTTACATGGGTTGAGAAATAATAAGGAATCCAATTTCTGATTGCCATATCATGAAAACTGTTCTTATGGGGTCTCGGCTAATCATCTCGATCACGGATAATAGATTCTTAATGAGATTTTGAAGCAGTTGTAATAATAATTGAAACTTTTTTGAGATATTCCAGGTAAAACGATAGGATACTTCAGAGCTTTGTGTGAGTTTCAATCTCAATATTCAAAAATATAACTTGTAAGCTTAGGAACCCATTTCTTTCTAGGTTATTTGAAGAGGCATATCACCTTAGACGTTTTCATAAACCTAGCCTTAACCTCACAGTGCCTTCATTTCATGGAAGAAAGACTTAAAAGAATTCGGTAATCATAGAGGAGTTCTTAAGGAGGCATATAATTTAATGTTTTGAAGCCACTCAAGGTGTACAATTCTATGATTACAGGCAAAGAAACACAAGTAATTGTGTGTGTGTGTGTGTGTTTGTAGTTTGTATATATATATATATATATATAGATGGAAAATACCTGAGATATATTTACATTAAAAAGGATGTAAAATAATGTGTGACAGGTGTGACATTAAAATAGCGTTGGGACTTATTTTGCAACAACTCCATTTGTTCAGCTTGTAAAGACAGACTTAAATGGATTCACATCCTGCTAGTTTTCCTTTCTCTAGAGCCAGGGAATTCAGGTGTCAGAAGGCTGGCTGACTTCCATGTGGGGAGAAGAAAGATAAGAAAATACTTTGTGAACCAAAAACAGTAGCTAAAGAAACCTCAGTGACCCAGGAACCATTAGTGAAAATAAGATGTCATCTGGTATGGAAATAAGTAACCGGAAAGCTTAGAAGGTGAAGGAGGGACCTCCCAAAGCATCTGCAAATAACTAAACGATTTAGTACCACCTTTACCTGTGCATCTGCTCCGTCCCTGAAATGGAATATTTTTCTCACCGTTTCCCTTTGTGTTCATGCCCTCGTGCTGCCGGGGGTTTTGGCTCTTCCTCTCTGAATTAACTCATTCTCATTTCATCATTTCATTTTGTGCGCACTAGAAAGAGGCTGTTTTTGTTTCATTAATGAAATATGAATGCATCACTCTCATGAATAGAACATCAAGAGACTGCCTGTGGTGTCCTAAAAATTCAGATGTGAGTCAGATATCCAAGTGCATAGTTTTTGTATGTTCTGGTATATGCTAACGCAGAAATATATGTGCACACTAAACAGTCATGGGTTCTAACACTGTACCAGGCTCTTTTTAAGCATTATAAGCTCCATAACAGTCCTTAGGGCAATATTTAGCTGGATAATAAACTTAATTTAGAATTATGTAATAATCAGTTTATATGATAAAGAAGATATGTATGTATATGTTATGTATGTATGTATGTTAGTTACAGGGTCTTTAGTTCAGAAATCCTGTTGTTTGAGAATTCAGGTGAGCCCATTGCTCTGTAGCTAAATAAGAATATACCTAGTAGGGGAGGGGATAGCTCAGTGGTAGAGCACCTGCTTAGCCTGCACGAGGTCCTGGGTTCCATCCCCAGTACCTCAACTGAAAAATAAGTAAACCTAATTACGCCCCCCCAAAAAAATTTTTTAATTAAAAAAAAAGAATATACCCAGTAACAAAATAGAGCCTAAAGCACCTCTCAGCCACCATTCCCCCATTCTGCCAAATCCCCTGTAAATTCGGAATTTCAGAAATTGTGTTTTCTGAAGAGGTGGTGTTACTGGTATGAACCACTCTTTGCTAATTCGGCTGCTGTAAATTTTAGAATAAAATTCAAAGGGATTGGGGGTCCATGTATTATTATTCAAAAATTTTAAAGTCTGAGCTCTATTAGAAATCCTAAATTCAAGGCTCTTGTTGAATGTGCTACTTGGTGCCTCCCTTAATACCAAAAACAAACAAAAAAACGCACCATCTTGGTTACTTCTGTGAGTGGAGAGACGCGTTCACCACCCCTAGCCCCACATCCACTTCAACTTTCTCCACGGCTGTCAAGAACAGAGTCACCCCTAATTTCCTAGTGGTGATCCTTGCTAGAAAACCTTCATTTGCTTGCTTGTTTATTCGTTCGTCTGTTTGTTTTTATTTCTCTACTGCCATCCCCACCATGCCTCCTCCCACGTAGCAAATTGTATCATTTGTGGCCAGGAAATGATGGTTTTGGTTCCATTCACGCAGATCTGTTCCTGACGTTTGGCGGGGGCAGCTGCCATCGGTCAGTGATGCTTTGGGTGGGGCTTCCCCTGCACCAGAGAGCCCTGCATCGGCTCAGGAAGGTAGACCAGGGCACCCTCCAGGACGAACCATCCCCGCAGCACCGTGACGCACAGACTCCCGCCAACTAGGAAGGAAGGGGGGTTATGCTCCAGTCTCATCCTTTATTTCCGATTGTTAGCTCATCTCCCAGTGAGAAGTTTGCTTCTAAAATCCATCTCTAGAGCCTCAAGCTCAATGTTTTAATTAGAGAGATGCTGAGGGGGGTAACTGCCTCTTGACCATCCGCATTCCTGTGTCAGCTCCTGTCTCTCCCACAGCAGGAAGGTTCCCAACACACACTCCACGTCTGGCAGACTCTCGTGGGAACACATCTCACGATGTCCTCTCTAAAGAGACCGCTGGGTGCTTCTCACCCATCTCTTCTCTCACTGGCACCAAATCACTTTCGCCTTTCAGCCCCTGTGGCCCCAGACGTCACTCCTTGCCCTGCTCGACCAGCTTTGGGCTTTCAATGTATGGTTAATTCAGTCCCATTTTGTTTTCCCCGTTTTATTCTGTTTTCACGAGCAAGTATCGAGTTCTGTCCATTGAATGGAATAAGGCTGTGTCACCCAAAACACTAGCTGGGATGTCCTAAAAAGTCAAACGTCTGCCAACTTTTCAGTGTAAACTTTTACCCCGTGCGTGTGCCTTTGCTCAATCAGTCATTCACCCTGCGTGTGTACAAAGCAAATCCTTAGTGGTTTCTCCCAACAAGCAGCAGTCAGCAAATCAACTGTTAATTCTAATGAGATTGCTGAAGTTAATAGCCGTTCTTCTTAAGCTGAATAATGTTTTATAATTAGGAGCGGTTATATAATTGAGCCGGACACCCACAGGGTGAAACTGTGCTGGATTTGACTTCGCTTTGGTGGCGGGAAGGACTTTTTTGTCTGTTAACTCTTAGGGGTTATAGGGAGTTAAAGCCTGTCATTATATACTGAGGAATACAAACCCGGAGCAGCTCCTGTCCTCTGTGACAGCTTAGGGGGAGTTCTTATTTCCTGTGATGTAATTCTCTGCCAGTCGGTCGCTGCGTCATAAGAAAGTTCTCTTACACTCGAGGTCCGCATCATAAGAAATTCTGTTACACTCGAGGTCCACAGTAACTCTGTAGCCTCCACCCTAGGGAGAGTTGGCTTACCACGGGACCCCACAAAATAGATACTCTATGTTAAAGAATTTTAAAGTCTTAGAACCAGAAGTAACCCTGGAGAATAATTTAAAAATCTTTTATACATGGGAAAAAAGCCCTAAGGATGGAAGAATTTAAGTAACT